GATGGCATGCACCGTATCTCCTCTATCAACAGCCCTAGTCCAGTGTTCCAGACAGTATAGCAAGTTTGTCACACAGGATCTGCTTTTGCGGAATCCACGCTGGGAATCGGAAAGCAGCTGGTTTTGTTCAAGGAACTGCATTGATTTTTGCTTTATTATTTTCTCCATAGTCTTGCAGCAAATGGAGGTGAGGCTGACAGGTCTGTAATTGTTCGCAGAGACCCGACTTCCGCCCTTGTATAGCGGCGTAATCCCGCCAACTTCCGGTCGAGTGGCAGATATCGGATCTCGAAGGATGTATGGAAAAGCATGGAGAGTGGCTTAGACAACTCACCGGCGAGTTCCTTCAAAATCTTCGCCGGAATCTCATCGAGACCTGGTGATTTGATTTCCTTTAGCCTCAGCAAATCCTTCAGAACCATACCCTCAGTGAACTGAACGGTCTCCATAATTGTGGTGTCTTCGAAGGGTTGAAGGACCGAAGGGTTGAAGCCTGTTTCACAACTTAAAATAGACCGAAAGTATACTGAAAAGTGATTAGCTTTCGCTCTGTCTTTAGTGAGCTGTTCGCCTTCAGCACTATTTAGCAGTGGTTTTGTGTCCTTGTACCGCGTGCACTGCCTTATGAAACCGTAGGATAATTAAGGGTTCTCCGCGGCACGGGTAAGCAGATTCCATTCGAATTCCCTTCTCGTTTTTAGGATATGGCCTTTGACTCGATTTCTTTGAACTTTGTACGCACATATAGATATGGAACACCTGTCAGAAAACGGTTTTTTCCACAGCCTTCGCTTTTTATTTACGTCTTTCTTCAAGGCTTGCGTAAGCCATCGAGGTCTGCCAGTTAAATTCTTCTATGAAAGCGGACACTGATTTTCGATCATCCTGTGAAGCATTTTTCGGAACCGTTGCCAGTCTTCGAGCATGCTTCCAACAAATACGGATGCCCACACAATGCGTGAAATTTCAGCCCTCATTTGGTCGAAATCCCCGCGCCAAAGGTTTCTGCTAACTGTCACAGGTTTTCAGGGCATGGAAAAAAGCGAGTAATCTCATAGAAGAACGACGTGGTCACTTTTACCTAAAGGGTAGACATGACACCTCATCAATGCTGTCCTGTGATTTCGTATGGACAAGTTCATGACCTGTTGACCTTCGCGTATTGTAGTTGGAAACGTGACTTGTTGATTGTCGGTCTGGAGGGCGAGACAGAGTTGGACCGGGGCATATCTGGTCGTGTCATCCGGGTGCTGCAGTTGGTACGAAGATGTCCAGTGAGACCAACTGGTACCCGGAACGTCCGCTGGTATCGTGAGCAGGTCGGAGGCGGTTAATTGTTGGCGTTGCGAGGCGGGTCCATTTGAGATTTACGAGCTTCGTGTTTGGCTTTGGCAACGATGCCGTTGGTTTCGTTGATCCCCGCGCCGGTCTCCACTTCTCTCCGCCAGGTCGATCGGTTCCTGGCGATGTCTTCCCGTTTGGCATGGTCGATTTAAAAGCGCCTATGGGAAGTCTTCAGGGTATCGTTGCAGTGCCGAATTTACCTCCTTGTCGGCGAGAACCGGTAACGACATCATAGAGGAGTCGTTTAGGTAACCGCTCGTCGTCTATTTACACCGGATGGCCGCTCCAGCGCAGTCGCAGTTGATTCAGTATAGCGAAAATGCTGAGGATTCCCGTCCGTTCGGGTAATTTCGTGTCGAGGATCCGGTCCGGTCACCTCAGCTCCAATATCCGTCGCAGGCAGCTGAGGTGGAATTGGTTGAGTCGCCATGCCTGATTCTTGTACAGCGTCCAAATCTCCGCTCCATACAGCAGCATCGGCACGATGACCGATTTTTACATCTTCAGTTTCACGTTGATGTTGAGACCGTAACTATTCTTATCTGTGTTTTGCAGGCGGCTGAAGGCTTGGCTGGCCTTGGAAATCCGGCGGGCCACTATATTGTCGATTTCTATACTTTGAGAGAGGGTGCTGCCCAGTTAGGTGTTGTCCAGGGCTTGCATTTGGGCGCTATTCGCGTTGATTTGGGATGTGAGGTAGGCAGCACCGGGTGGCGGTTAATGCATAACCACCGTCTTCTCCGTGTTGATGATGAGGTCGAAGTTGTTGCAGGTGGCGGCGAAGAGGTACATGCCCCTTTGCATGTCCCCTTCTGAGATGGCGTTGAGAGCGCAGTCGTTGGGGAAGGGAAGTTTATGGACGGAAGTTGTGAATACACTCGAGTGGAAGTTCATCCACCGCCTATTGAAGAGTGGACCATGTGTCCTATAGGCGACGCAGGTCCCTGAGCGTTCTTCGCGACAGACGTCCATTTGCATGGCTGAGAACATGAGACTGAATATGGTACACACGAGGACACAGCCCGAAATCATTCCGTTGATCAGCGCAAATGCCTCTGAGACAACTCTATTGTGCGTGACGTGTGCCGTCATGCCATAGTGGGGCTGACACATCATCTGAGTAGATCGCTCCAGTTCTTCTATCTTTATGAGGGTACTTTCCAGTTGATTCTCAGCGTATCTTTTCAGGGTTTCTGTGGAAAGGACGGTAAGGCTACGCCTCAGCGCTTTTCAGTTGTGGTTTGTATATTCGTTTCTCTCAATGCATTCCTAGATAAACTTGACCATTACGTTCGCCTCCACAAGCTTGGTGTTGAAATGAAGGTACCCATTGTGTGCCCTCAACACCGTGGGATCTTTGGACTTCTTAGAGTTGCGAGAATTCCAGCAGCAGCAATCAGAATACGAGGTGGCGAGCATACGTCGCTTTCGACTTAGTTTACCACTGACATGTTTTAACTTCTACCCCGTTCCCATGAAATTGTACTGGCCCGACGAGAATTTATCGAAGGTTAAGTATGCTCGCCACCTCGTCTTCTGATTACTGCTATAAAAAAGTTGCAACTATAAAACACTAGTTATTTGTCTAGAAACTAAATTTTTGCAAAAGTGTTACCGGCAATGGAGCGGTCCTCCAATGGGTTCTCCTTTGCCCGCTTTTCCAGCAGAAACTGGAATCTATAGCCCTTTCCAGTGCTAGCCCAACACTATGGCTGCGTTACGTTGATGACTCATTCGTCATTGCGAAAAGGCTCATTTGTCATTGTCAAGAAAAACTGGTTAATGCTGCTCCACACGAATCTTAACCCAACATTCCCGGGAATCAAGTTTACTCTCGAAGCCGGGATTGATGGACATCTTCCACTCTTTTATGTCCTTATACGTCGAAAAACTGATTGATGACCTCACAATTCAGTTTATCGCAAGGGAGTATATTCAGAGGTCATCCTACATTTTGAGAGTAGCCCCCCTGTCTCTCAAAAACGGAGGACAGTTTACTGCCTTCTAAGTTGAGTCAAAATTCACTGCTCTAATTAAACAGGTTATGAGGAAAAAATGAAATACCTCCACAAACTATTTTTCCAAAATGGCTACCCGCATGATCTTGTACGTCAATGCGTGAGGCACCAGCAATTCAAGGGAAGGGGTATTTCCAAGGCTAAGGCCGGTCGGGCACCAGAACCAATCACCTGGCGAGCTCTCCCGCACGTGAAAAATGCATTTGGACTAGTCGAAAGGCAGCTAAAAACACCAGATACACGTAGCACACCAGCCAGCAACTACCTTACACACTAATTGTACACCCTAAAGACAGGGATGGCTACCTCGATGGAAAAAATGTTGTCTGCAAGATCTCATGTAATATTTGTGATGCCGTCTGTTGTGGCCAAACTGAGAAATCTGTCCCGACCCGTATTCATGAACATCAGGTAGAGGTGAGGAGACGAGATCCTCTATTCCAGGTGTCTTTGCACACACTGGACACTGGACACAAAGTTACATGGGAGAATACCTGCATTGTTGGCGCCTGCCTAATAGTGAGGGGCCGCGAATTCCTGGAAGCAATGCACTCAGACAAGTCATACATCAATCGGCATATCAATTTAGATGCCACATGCAAAATCTTTAAAGAAAAATTAAAGCTGTTTCAGCCAATCCCGAAAAGGTGACAAATTGCAATTAACACGTGCTGGCACAGACGTTGACCAATCATTGGGTCCTTTGTTAAAATCAGTTAGGAAGCAAATAGTTTTTTCCGCACACATAGTCTGAAGATGAGCTGAGGGACTAGTCTCCAAAACGTACGCAATAAAAGTTGCAGTTTCCCAAGAAATTTTACCTTCCTAATACGTACATATATGTATGCATATGCATTGTGTTTATCATCCCCGAAGACGAAGAAGGGAGGGCGAGTTCATGGACCAAGTTATATTAATACTGACACTTCGGAAACTTTCTCGTTTCCATCATCAGAGTCTTGACTACTAAATCCACCGTTATAACTCCTCCCCACAGAGATGATTTTCGTCGTTCTTGATGTCATTTCATTTCGACCCTAAGCGGTCTGTCGACGCTCATGGCGGGGTCCTCTGTATGCGCCATCTACTAGTAGTTTGATCGGTCAGCAAAGAGATCCCATGGTCGTATCTCCCTTGCCACAACCTCGGCTGGACTGTAGGTGGACTGTGACCGACCACGTCTGGGTTCCTCTCGTCTCGCCAATTTGATGTGAATAGCCTCATCCGGTGTATGAATTCTGCCTCCGCGATGTCTTCATCGAATCCCTTATACACTACCGCATGCAGGCCAGTCCTGTCTGACCCATATACTTGCCCTTTCGTTAAATCTGCCAAACACTACCACATGAAGGCCGGTCCTGCCCTCACTCTTATCTTTTTATGAACAACAGTTTTTTCTTTTAAACTTGATCCAATAACATTCATTTTGTTTATTAGGTAATGACGTTTTTTCAATGTTCATTAATCACTTTTCTGACCAAACTGTTTGTTCAAAAAGCATGAAATGTATACTGTGGAGATTATGTTTACCTGGGATATAATTCATATGAAAATTTATTTTAACTTTTTATGATGGAACACCAGGGGTCTTTAATGAAGTATCTACTTAGTAAGTACCATATTCGCATTATTCTGCGCTTTGATGACACCCAGAGCCTTAAATATCCCCTCCTCTCCTGGACGCTAAGCGGACTGCGACCGGTTATGTTGTGCCTTTCCTGTCCCGTCAACTTGACCATTACGTCTTTTGTCAACCCTAAAATATTACGATCGCGGTAATTGCTTGGTGGTCGGCATGCAAGTGTTTAGTTGCTGAAATTTCGTCACCGTGTTGGGTGCTGGTGTGATGACTGCTCGACCGCCTTGCTCACCGGCATCGCTCCCCCGAGTGGCTGATTACTTTGGCCAACCTAAGTCTCAGCGCCGAATTTGGAGTAAGAATGTCATTGCACTTGTTGATAGACTGAGATCTCGGGTAACTTGAGTGAAGCAACTCGCGGCTCACGCAACTATCGGCTCTCGCGATAATGTCGGCCTCATCGAATTTTTATGTCTGGTTGGCTCTCGTCGAATGGGCCGCGATTTGAGAGTTGGCGCCATTAACCTGCACCGTAGCCGCGTGTTTGACGACTCGTCTCCAGTGCAGTCCTACAGTTTCCCCGACAGAGTTGCTTAGCACGTAATCGCACCAGATCCGGTAAACGACTCTAAATGTAGAATGATATTACCGACAAAGACAAGGGACACTGGAATGCCCATTTCTGGCTTATTAGCCGTCGTCAGCCAGCCATACCCAACCCGACGTGTGGAACACCCGAGCCTCGAACTCGCGACCTGCTGGTTTAGAAGTCCACGCCTCTACTCACCGGGCCACGAGCCCATTGCCCTGTCGGTTTTTGATCGGGAATATACAATGTTAGGGGGCGCTCACCGATCGTTCAAACGGAACCCACTCGTTCCGCTGTGCCTTAAGGGCTCTCTCTCGAGCCCAACCAGCAGCCGCGCAGCGGTCCATGATATGTATCAGGCCGTGACAATGGGACTCATGCCGTCATCGACTGACGACTAATGGCCGCCTCTGTTCTGTGAGCAATTCCAAGTCAAAATGGCACGAGAAGGTGACGGACGGCCTCAAAGAAGTTCGTGATGTGTGGGATCGCAAGCCAGAACTTGGGGTCGCTGCGGTTTTGCCTCTCGTGTCACCTCTGCATGCACTGGTTGATATGGTTGCATGGGTAGCCACTTTCTCTGAACATTTGTCAACGATATTGAAATCCAGCAATTTTGTCTTCCGGCTCACCTCAGTGTGTTTCAACTCGTCAATACAGCGCCCACACGCAACTGCGTTTGTGGCTGATTAGGTGGTTGTATTTGAAGTTCAGTATTTGCGTCGTATTTGTTGCTTTCCAAAACACTTTGATCTTTAGGTCACCACAGTCTTTGCACCAGGAAATAATATCAAAGAAAGCGAAGTGGTTGTCTTCTTCCCTTTTGACGTAAATCGTATTTCCGGGAAGACGTTGTGAAGACCTTCTTTGAACGTTAGCATCCAATCCCCTTCATTGACAACGAAGGTATCATTCGCATGTCGAATCCAAAGTTTCGGCCCAATACACTGATTTTACCAAACCACAGACCGAAATTCTGGGTCGGCATGTGGATGATACCTTCGTCTTCATCGAAAGGGATCAGGTACTAACGTTCAAAGAACGGGAAGACGGGTTGCCAGGGAAGACGGGTTGCCCGTTAGCCTAGCTGCTGGCTACCCGGCGCGTCCACAGGTGGCGGATAGTGGGACGACCTTCAGTGAAGGTTAACTGCGAAATAAGCAGACCCAGGTCTGACGAATAAGCAGTCGCGGACCAGCAGCGACATTGCTACCAGGGTGCGGTGGGCTGAAGTCTGGCACGCTGAAAGCCTTATAAAATGCCGTAAAGCCCAATGACGGCACTGTGACATGGCGACCGTAAACCGCCATTAAATAAGTTTTCTTGCCACCGCTGCCTTGTGGTTAGGTTTCTAAGCCAAAGCGCTAGAGGAGACAACCTCGAACAAACAATCCGAGCGGCTGTTGGGGACCCGCCCGTATTCGAAATTCCCAAGAAACCTCATGCAACATGTCCGATCACAGTACTACGACCCATGCTACGGCGTCCGCGGGAACCGACGCGCTCCGCAAACCTAGTCCAGTGGTGCGGGCGAATAGTATGCGAGCTGGACTACTCAATCGTGGACGGACTCTCGGTATTGGATGCTGGAATGTACGAACGTTCCTGGACCCTGGTACCCAAAGTCTGACCGCACGCAGCGTTCATCAGTACGACGTGGATGTCTGCTGTCTGTCTGAGGTACGAATCCCTGACTCGGGCTCTCGTGAAATAAAGATCCCGGGAGTCGAATCCCAATTCACCCTGTACCACAGCGGCCCCCGCGATTCCCCTGGCCGACACGGTGTGGCGATTGCCCTATCACAACAAGCGGAGCTTGCGCTACTTGCTTGGGAACCAGTAAATGACCGGATGGCCTACTTGCGACTGAAGGGTCACTTCACGAACATCTCCATCGTCTCTGTGTACGCACAAACTTCGGCTGCCGAACAGTTCGATTAAGAGGCGTTTTACTCTCAGTTGCAAGCGCTAGTTGAAAGACTGCCTCACCGTGATCTGCTGATTGTTGCTGGCGATTGGAATGGTCGAATTGGACCTGGCGATCCCACAACCAGTCATCTTCTTGGCCGCTTTGGGCTTGGTTCCCGATGTGAAAATGGTGAGAGATGCTGAACTTCGCTGATCGAAACCGACTGCTTGTCACCAACACATGCTTCCAGCACCTGGTATTCAAACGACGGTCGCACGGCCAGTCAGATTGACTACATACTAGTCAGCTCAAGGTTCCGCAGTTGGGTTCACGATAGTAGATCGATGCGTGGTGCCGAGAATGGTAACGCCCATGGGTCGGACCTTGTCCTCGTTCATACACGCTTGAAAGTTCATTTCTCATCCGCACCAAAAATGCCACGTCCTAGACGCCTCAATGTCGCAAAAATCCGGCAAGCCAGCACTGCCGAGACCCTAAGCAGAGAAATCCGGACCTGTTTTACGGCCCGAGCCAACGGAGAAGTCAGTAACCAGTGGTCGTCACTGAAGACATCAGTCTATGGGGCAGCTGAGAAAATCCTTGGATACACCCAGCGCCGCCGCAGTGACTGGATCAGCGGAAGAACCCTGCAGTTGTCTGCTCAGACGGCTAGAGCCAGGTCCCGCAACGATGACTTCTTCCGCCGACTTCGGAAGATGACGGCAAAATCGGCCAGGGATGACCGGAAACAATATTGGGCTGAAATAGCGACATCCATTGAACAGGCCTCGAACGTTGGTGACACTCGAAAACTCTACCGTCTGATCCGCCAAGTTAGCGGTAAGCCCTCTACACTGAGTGACTCTGTTCGCGATATGAACGGCGGCTTTATTGCTGACAACTCGGCCAAAGTCGAGCGCTGGCGTGAGGACTTTGAGCACCATCTCAACTACGATACCCAACCTACATCGCCCTTGCTCTCCTCCTCAGCGGAGTTTCTTCCCCCTCCTACCTATGCAGTGCCATGCGATCCACCCTCCGAGGAAGAAGTCGCCGATGCCATACGAAAGTTGCGCAACAATAAGGCACCCGGAGAGGACGGTATACCCGCTGAAATCTTTAAGTCTTGTGTCGACACTGGCGCCCTGGCTCCATGACGTGACTGAACGAGAGTGGAGAGACGAGGTTGTTCCTGATGACTGGGTCTTAGGCATCCCTGTACCTATCCTCAAGATAAGACGAGATGCGAGAACTACCGCGGCATAAGTCTCATCGACGTTGCTGTGAAGATCTTCGCTATTGTCCTACTCAGGCGATTCCAGGCTGTGCGTGACTCAAGGACGAAGCCCAACCAAGCCGGATTTCGTGCTGGACGTGGATGCGCAGATCAGATATTCACTCTGAGGCGCATTCTCCAATTTCGCCATAGCTACAAACAACCGACGGCCGTCTGCTTCGTTGACTTTGCCGCCGCGTTCAGTTCAGTTCAGTTTATTGAGGGAAATGTAGGTCTTCACCTTTGAACTCCCTATTTGTTCGATTCCGTTCACCGTGAGTCCCTGTGGCGGATAATGACGCTAGATGGTGTACCGGCAAAAATCATCGCCATGATCAAGGCCTACTATCGCTCCACTACTGCGAGAGTCCTGATCCGTAACAATCTTTCCCAACCGTTCGGTATTCGGTCTGGCGTCCGACAGGGTTGTATCCTGTCACCCATACTGTTCAACTACGCTATTGACTGGATCCTCGGGAGGGCCCTACGCGACAGTGACGGCGTTGAATCCGCACCCGGACATCGACTGACTGATCACGACTATGCTGATGATATCGCCTTACTTGCTTCAAGTTTTGGTGATCTGCAGTCTATGGTGTCACGAGTGAACGAGGTCGCTAAATCAGTCGGTTTGTCCATAAACGCTGGGAAGACCAAAGTATTCTCAAGCTGCATCCCTGACCAGGAGAAGGTACCCCTCGGAATTGATGGCTGTCAACTTGAAGAAGTGGACAGTTTTAAATACCTCGGGGCGCGGCTGCTGCCTAATGGACAGAGTAAGGACGGCATTGTCTCCCGAATCGATGCTGCCCGCTGGTTTTTTTCAAGCCTTCGGAAATGCCTGTGGAACCGACGTGACCTCTCAATTGCCACTAAGATTCGCGTGTACAGTGCATCTGTCCGGTCTGTCCTTCTCTACGGTTACAAATGCTGGGCTTTGCGCGTGGCGGATGAGCGAAAACTGGAGGTATTTGACCACCACTGCTTGAGGATCATCCTTCGAGTGAAGTTAACGGACTTCGTCTCAAATGAGATAGTCGCGCTCGCTGCGACAACATCGCGAGGATAACTCAGGCCATCCAAGAAAGACGACTGAGGTGGTTCGGGCATGTTCTTCGTCGTCCACCTCAGGAGCTCAGTGTTGCTGCCCTCGATCCGGCACCTTTGCCCCATTGGAGGCGTCAAAGAGGGGTCAGTTCAAAACCTGGCTCGACACTGTCCGTCAAGACATGGAGGTGGTTATTGGACCTTCGGTATTCGGTCTCCGTCGTTGGCGAAGGGAATGGGTTGAGCTGTCTAGATCTGCCGCCGCGGATCGTCACGCGTGGAGAGGTACAATTCGGGACATCATCGAGGCCGGCTAGATCAGGCATGATCGCAGCCGTATCAAGTACAAGTACAAGTTCAAAGAACGTCTTAACGCAGTCTTCCCAGAGATATGACTTACAATGGAAAAAAGGAGAAAACAACCAGTTAGACTCTTTCGATTTTTTCGCTTGTTCTGTCTCGGTAGAGTAAATAAAGTGTTAGGTGCAGTTTTGCTTTAACAGAACAAACCTGAAAGCCTTAACGTTTGACTTAATTCGAACCATTGTGTCAACAGTCACAATAGATATGACCTTGAAGTTGTCCTAAAACATGAACCAAAGGCTCGAGTACTTGCAGTACATTCGCCTCGTCAAAAGTGTTAACGATGGTGATGTTAACATGATCAAAAGAATCGTTTCATACGGAGTCCCAGGGATAATTGATTATTTTAGTGCTAAACTTGGCGCTCACCCACTTGGATTTGCAGCAAAACGCAATGACTGCAAAATTTTGCAGGTTCGTTTTAGCAAAAACAGTGGATTGCTTCATGGGTCTAGTGTTTACTGGAACTCGGAGCTGATATAAATGGAGCTGATGATAACGGCCAAAATGCACTGATGTATGCGGCAGAAAATGGCAACGTTGAGGCTCTCGAATTGTTAATAAATATGGATGCAAATATAAATATGCGGAACAAAAATGGTGAAAGTAAAGTAATCTGTCCCTATTACTTAAGATGTTATTACATACTGTATAAAAGCTACCGAGTCACATATCAACTGTCTCTCGTATTTGCTTAAATGTGGAGCTAATGTTAACAATGTCGCCAAAAATGGTACCCTGCCTCTACATCTTGCCTGTCAAAGCGCAATAGAACTGGAGACTCATTGTCTGATGTTGATTGAAAACAACAGTACAGTCAACCAGAGCTCAGTAAGTATATCAATGAGCGTTATTAGATTTGCCTTTCTAATTTTATTGCGCTTTGTGTTTACGACTACACACTAAATATCTGTGATGGTCGTCAATTATCGAAATTCGGTCGAACATTTTGAATGCGACTGTGAGTATAGAATCGAATCGAATGATCTTTTTGGCCTTAGAATATCTCTTCTTCATGCAATAAACAATAGAGCAGTAGTCTGTTTATGAACTGACTATCCATTTTGGTTTTCATGACGCGATCGTTAAACTCGAGCTTCACTCCACACGTTTTAATTTGCTGAATCTGGACTCATTATGATTTTCAAGTTTCCTTGACCTCAGGTTGTGGCAGGCTAAATGATAAAAAATGAAGCGAGTATGAGAATCGTTTTAATTACAACTCCTCATATTCTGCGAAACTGGCAGTCTATATACCCTGACTAAATAGAGACACTAGGTAAAATAGACCGCTTGACCATTTTACCCTAATTAAGTTTGTCAGACGTTTAAACCAAATCATGATTTCCTTCGTCTCTTAACAAACAATTCTTGCTTAAGTCTGTTTTTAACTGTCGTTTTAAACCGCGCCATATACGTGACCTGGGATTTTAAATATTTACGAAAACCTCGAATTCAATGTCAAGATATGTGCTATTATTTATAACAAGGCCCTTATTTGGAGCAAACTGCCACAAACGTTTTTACATTAACGCGATTGCGAATAATCCTTTTTTCTAAAAAAATGAGTGTAATCTTCTAGGAAACATTCTAGGTGAACAAGAAATTGTCCTTTAATTTTTCGTTTCTCCAAATACACGTCACAATTTTTCATATCGAGAAGACTGTTAAATGTGGAGGAGACTGAAATGGCCATATTGGGTTTATTTGCCATCGTCATCCACAAACCCATGTTTGCAGGATGCTTGATTGACTGAGCCCTTTAAAGTCCAGCGTCCCACCATTGAGACACGGCCTTAATAATAGCTAAACTAATAAAACTTAAGACATTATTTTCAAACTTCCGTGCGATATATTTTTATCTGCTTGTTGTTTATTTGCGCGCCTACCTTGTAAACCTCCACCGAACAGTCGTCTTCACTACTGCAGTTTTAACGAGTACTGATTTTTTTTGACTCGGACGTCATCGCAAACGCTTCTTTAGCGCCCTAAAACAGCAGAAATTCGAGGAAGAAAATCATAACCCTCATGTACTTTTGCAGTTTCGAACGACTCAACAAACGTTTCATACTGTCATGCAAGACAACACTTGAGTCAAACGGTTACATAATTAGGAATTAAGCAGTCTCTTGCTATTTCGCAACCACAAGTGTTATTTCACTTATTATGAAATAAGAACACTGGCTTCGATTTCAACAAGCACACAGAACGTTGTCTTTACCTGCTTCACCATTTAAACTGCTTTTGTTCGCAGTTCCAAATTTCAGTTATCACCTGCAGCCATATGGCACTAGACTCTTACAGTCAGTATGCCAGTAGATACGTCACTTACCTATGAAAGCGTAATACCCATACAATAACTTAATTTGAACTATTTATGGAATAAATTAATTCACAGAAAATAGGACAACAGAGAGATATCAGTTAACGTGCCACAGTCCAAAAAGCGCTTCGACTAACAGGCAATAAGAACACATACGTTACACCGCGCACCACTCTGGGCAGAGTGGTACCCTCCTAATGACCAACCTAAACAAATCTGTTTACTCAGGCCATATAGGAAAAAATTGTAGCCACTTCAAGATTGACTTAAAAGACATTTTTCAATCAAAGAAGCACTGCACATTTAAAGTCCATTTGCCTTGATAAGTGGATAAATTCGCTCACAGATGCGTCCTATGCTTTCCGGAATAGTCGTGACCACTAGTGTAAAGGCGAGGAGGCCAGGGTTCGCCTAGCTTCCATCTAAGCACTTTTATTGAAGGAGCTATGAGGTGATAGGGATAGTTTATGATTCGATTTCATTGAATAGGATCGAAAATACGTCCTGCTTAGCTGTCTTTCTGAAATTTACTTTAAGCTGAGTCAAAAGAATACGTAAATCACGTTCACTTTTTGCGACGGTGTTGTATATTCATTAGTCCAAATGAATCTGAGTACATTTTGCAATCAAATTACGCGCAATGTGAAATGCACGTAAGGTTTCTGTGAACGATTTTTTAAATACTTCAAGGTCACTGGACGAACGCCGCTAATGGAGGCGTGTGCGTCTGGAAGAGGAGTCGTAGAGACTGTTTTGGCGAAACGGGGGGCGGATGTGAGTGCTGTCGACATAAATGGAACAACTGCGGCTCATGAAGCAGCAGCCCATGGGAACTATCGTTCACTGTTCCTTCTTAACGGCCTTGGAGCTAACATGAATGCTGTAGGTTATATCTCCTGATGCTATATTTTGTTTTGATTTATCCCCACATTTTACTGCAGCAAGCTTACTGGGAATCTTTACCAAAACAGTATAAAGTAGGTCTGCAAATCCGATAAGAGACTCCATGTACAACTGACGACCCTGCCTGAAAAGTAACGACTTTGCTGTCCAGCAACCTGTCTAGACTTCTTAGATGCTTTTCATCGCGTGCAAATAGAGTTGTCTGTTAGTTTTTCCCAGGGACCATTCTTCCATTAAATTGATAGAACTGTAACAGGGTTTTGGAATTAAACCAAATTCCTTGTTGGTGGTTACGGTAGCTAATAGGTTTCCGAGAGAGCCGACCACTTCGAACTTGCTAAGGCAGAGGATTTTTGTATTCTTACTCAGCAGAAGACATTCGTCCCCTCTTGACCTTCAGCCCACCAAGGCGTGACCTAAAATGAAGGAGTTAATTACCGAAATTTTCTAATCTGAATGTCGTAGTATTTAGTCAGCACTGTTTTAGTTCGCGGAGGGCAATATAGATGTGCTATCGGGCGTTAATGCAAAGTACGCGTTGGCGATGTGTGCTGTCGCACATTCCTCATTTACTGTCCTTCAACTTAAGCGTGTCGACGTGCGTTTTATTTCTCCCGCCTTCACGGACAGATGAAACTCCTAACTCCAATCCCTCAAAATTATATCAAACTAGAACTGACGGCTGTTCCTGCGGGTAGCATACCTCCTTTCACTTATCAATTCATCCAGAGTTGGCCTTTGGAAACTCAATTCGCTTTCAAGTTATTGATATTTGGCCATATCTTAGAGCAGACGATCTCGCTGCATCTTGGAGCGAACTTTTTTTTATAAATAAACCGTTATAAAGGTTTCATCTGAAGGTCCTGTTCTGGCGGCCAAAATCATTATGTGGGTAAACTGTACGAAGGAGAAATTAACCAACCAAAAGTACCTTTTGTTAAAACTACCTTTTAAATCAATCAACGTTTTTTCTTGGAAGTTTGTTTGGATTCATCTACGCCTCCCCGACTTTTGCCCCGAGCGAAACAATAAGATGGTCGAGAGATTCATCTTTCGTGCTTTCGTTTTGTCAGTATCCGGTATAAAAGAGACGAAGCTGCCATTTAGTCAGCATAAACGTGGTTGGCATATTCCGTATGAATTGCATTACTTGAATTGGCTCACGAAGCTTATTCGTGCTTAACGGCGAATTTTAGTTTCTAATTCATTTTCCTTAGGCGTAGGCCGATTTACTGGAGTGAACATTTCCAAAATATCGGTGCAACAAATTTTCTACTTTCCTTTTCCCTTCACATCGCCGATACTTCAACATGGCAAACGACGATGTCCACCGTGTGCCATCCAGCAGGGTGAACGCACTGACGATGATTTGCGTGTGGACTGGTTTGTATAAAAGCTATTTGCGGACTTGCGCTGCGTCTAGCGCACCCTTCCGCTCTCACATCCACCCGAGTCTGGTGCCAAAACGGAGTCAAGAAATCCAGAGGCGGGATCTGGCAAAAATGGCTAGTGTGGCAGGAACCCACACCCAAGCTTGTCACCAAGAATTTACACAAGAAGGGCTGGGCACCTTGAGAGTGATAAAAAGACCACTTTAAGATGGAGTCACTGCAGCCTGATTCTCTACCCTGGGAGAACGACCGAGCTATTTTGTTAGTTAGCAGCCTTCAAAGTCACGACTTTTAGCGTACCGTGATAGGTTCAAGTGGGTCAGATGATTTATAGCGAGGAATGTGAGCTGAGAAAGTCGACCCCACCCTCTCTTTCCCACTCAGAGGTAGCAGCCCACTCTCCGAGCCGGTCATTCAAGTGATGAGGGAATAGGGCACAGTAGTTTACATAGCTAAATACAGCCCTGGTCCCTCACACAACACACCAGATTTCACACAACGGGGTGGGTTGTTCGGATCTCACATTCGTTAGAGGACTGTTAGGAGCACATGGAGAGGGAGCCGAAGAAGAGGCTTTTTACTTACTTGGCCTTTACCTATTACGTGAGACGCGTTTGTGTGTCGCGTATAGGTTGTGGTATGTGTGGCGATGTCGTTTGTTCTGCGGCGGCTTACCGTAGATTTTCATGGAGTTACTTGTGTCCGAGTAGGCCCATGGGGTGACCAGATGGGCGTGGGCAGTATGGGTAGTTGAGGAGGATGCGATGGGTGAATGGTTTGGCTTCAGACAGTGGTACGCCGGTTTCAGTGCGATGGATACGCAAATGGCTTACCAGGCCGATGCATGGTGAGAAGTGCGACCGTAACAACGGCAGGTTAAGATCGAGTCCGCATTGGTGGTGGTGGTGATGGTGGTGAGGGTGTAGTTGACAGGGCGTTAAAGACGTTAAATGCTATTTTTCTACGAGTGCCATAGGACTGTGCCGCGACAGAACCATCAGACTCCAATTCGACCATTCAGATGCGAATCGTTTACAAGTCGTCTTAGTGAACATTTTATTTAGGAAAACGTCTTGATTACTTTACTTCTGAACGTACATTTTACGAAAAGCTACCTTCTGGTAGCCGACATGTATCTTAGATCCTGGAAATACTTATAGTAACTTTTTTTCAAAGAAAGATTAATAAATACCTTGCACCACATAAAATAACATATTTTGCGAATCCTTATGAGTCAAGGTCTTATATACCTTACGCAGAGTGTGCATTAAAGTAGGATCCTAGGCCACCAGCTTTTAAACTTTACTTCCTTGACGACACATATACCTGATATTCAGTACTAACACCTTCATTTAATCTGACATTTGCTATTAAACTTGACCGAAGAACAAGTCATGTACGTGAAATTTTTAGCGGTTCGTAATCATAACGTACGGCGATGGTTTTCAATGCAGCCTACTTGAGGTGGGGAAAGCCTTACATCTAGAATAAAGGTGTGAGGGTATTGAGAAGAATGAATCCCCGTAAAAAAAACTAAGTTGGACAGTTACATAGCATCGATATCCACTTGAAATAAATGGTAGATGGCCACGGCCTAAAATCTTTTAAATTCCCCTTAATGGTGCTGGATTTTGCTAAGCGCTTGAATTTTCAGTAGAAAATTGCGACTCTGTGTTGGCTTCATGATTGAAATGCTTAAACGCAGTCACTACGTGCCTGTATTCTTGGCATAGTTTGATTAAATGAATGCATTTTTTGAAACTTAAATGCCATATTTTTAAAATGCAGTGCATGCCATTTTTTGACGCATACAGGCATTTATTTTTTGGTATGTATAGAAGTGGGCAAATTCATCCTGATTTGTAATCGTCTGAACTTTCTGTCTGTGTCTAAACACAGATGCTCCTGTTATTTTATTTTCTACACCTATTATTCTTCTAAATTGGAAAAAATAGGTTGATACTGCAGGGAATACTCCGTTTCATCTGGCTGCTGCGGGATACGCCGACTGCTGCAGGTTTCTTCGCCAACGAGGTAACTGAGTTTTGAGGTACTGAAGCGCAGTGAAACCGCAGCTAGTTTGGCACAGCTTTTTCATAAAGGACGAATTGTCAAACGATTGCTTTCGTTAATTTGCCATCATAGATAGTCAACGTCATTGGTCTATGGGAGCTAAAAACCCGTAGAGAGTATGGAACTGGTTGGGTCTGCAGCGGTGTCAGTATGGAAGAATTACGCTGACCTCGGTTTGGCATACGCTGGCTCTTCGTAGACTAACAACCTGTAGGGCTTTTTTCAGCTCTCAAAGAACATTGCTTTCGGCGAGTGTGGCTTTTTCTTCACTCGGCACAAAAATGCGTTGAAGTCAAAGGAACTCCACGGACTAGTAAAACGGTTTTCCTGAAGAAAGCAAATTGTTTGTCGCCATCTATGAACTTTTGTTTCTTAGGCACTGAGTGTGTGCTCAGATGATTTGAACATATATGTGAAAAATCCAATCCTCCTGAGTGCCTGCTGACCCGTCTTTTACAACATCATATTATCTGGTTTAATAGTATGATGATACATGCTACGGTTTCTATCAAAATGAAACCTGCCTCTTCTGAAGCCTTTGTATACCTTAGCCCAACCTCATATAAGGATGACAAATCGCGCAAGTTAGGATAGTGGAAAAATGACTGCCTAAGTCCGCGTCTCGCCAACATCTAGAGAGAAGTCTTTTAAAGTAACAAACATTTTTCGGAAAAATAGCTGACCCTAAATTCCATCTAATATGGTTCCATATCTGTCCCCTGGGATCACTGTTTCGAGGAATCTCCCGCTTTATTCGTTCAAGTGATCTTGACATCTGTACACTTGTCTCGAATTGTCTTTTTCAAACAAGGTTGCGATCCAAAAATTAAGAATTCCAAAGGAGATACACCACGCGTCATAGCCCGGAAATTTGGAACGAAGGCTTGTCGCATTGAAATCGCCCGAGCAGAGAAGACTTATGGAAACGTCGAAGAGGAGGGTACGGAGCCCTGGGCCCTGCGACTCTATGACTGGGCAGACGCATTCTCTGAAGAACTTCTCCAGAGGTCTGTAAATAACTCTCTGCAACGGAGCTTTAGTCTTAAATCCACCACTGTCTCTAAAACCTAAGTTTATGGTGAATGCGCTTTCTGTCGTCAGTTATTTTAACAAGAGACACGAGTACCTCTGGAGTTTTCGGGCAGTTTTATGAGGAGATTTAAAGAGAAATCACAATATTTTCGCTGCTACTTGACGTGGATGTGCGGTCTCTAAGCTCCTCGGCGAGTCCTTCCAGCTTTCTCTGGGGCGCGGTTTGCTAATACCGACTGCAGTACAACCCGGGAACTCGTAGCTACTTAAGAGCCTGGCGCTTGTCGAACTACGTCGCAGTCGGTCTAGTAAGTGTCCATGGTTCACAGACTACCCTGAAAAGGGATGGGCAATTTCCTTCTCCCAGCAACTTGTACCATCTGGATTTCCGCGGATGCACAATATTTGCCCCAAATCAAAGTTAACTTACACATGTTCAAGTTCGAAAGAACATGTAATCCGTCTGCCCTTTAATATGAATTTGACAAAAGACACCACGAATATCGAATATTATCATTTAAAAGTCATACAGCAAATACTTTCCCTCGAAAGCAAATGCAAACTATCATCTTTAGAAATAATTTTGTTCACGTCGGCCAAACCCCTCCCTATTTCCCGAGTATTTTGATTACCAATGCGTTTGAAGTAAAGAAGATATTCTCAGTTGGCAGGCACCTCTATAAACCCAGGCTGCAAAAGTTGCTGACTCCTCCTAATTGTCCGATTTTAAAAATCATAATATTTAGGGAAATCTGAACGATGCTAGTTAATTTTCGGACTCCTGTCATTCACCAGTTACCGTTTTACGATTAATGTGCGGAAAAACTGATAGAGAGCTTTACCAGCAGATACCGGGATTTCCTAAGACCGTGTAGCTTTTACGTACTCGCGAGTCCTACTACTGAAAACTATTGTCGTTTGAATATTGGTTTCACATATAAGCTTGCCCGAATTTGGCATCACTACGGTCCGTTACGCAGTCTTCAATGATTTTACATAGAGTGTTATCATTATTGCATTAGCCCTTTCGTTCGGGTTTTACCTTTAATCCTGCGAGAGTAGAATATACAATATAATTGGGAAAAGTTGCGTCTACCATACCGAAACTCTCTTACTGGATTCACCACGCAACAATATAATGCTTGCCCCAACTTCACGTGAAGCCTATTAGAAATATGAAACTTGCATTTGTTTTGTAAAGCAGCGCTAGATGTTATACTGTTTAAAGTTTAAGATGAACATTGTTAAAAGTTAGTGATCAGTAAGGCTTTCTTAACGAAACCGGGTGTCTTGTGTTTCGATACGTGGTTTTTGAAGTTTTTCGTGACTTAATATAAAGGAAAAACTGGAATCTTACACTAAGACTCAAGAGCCCTTATTCTCTTTTATTTGCCTATATAATTTCATAGGCACTATGGCAGATTTCAAATAATTCACTTTGACCCAATTCTGAAAAACTCGGTGCCTCGGTGGGATTCGAATCTGCCATAACACCTACGAATTACGTGAACCTGATATTCCTCTGGTGGATTCTAGATGCATTACTTAGGAAATCCTACTTGGGCAGTCAGTTTACTGTATCGGATTTGATGGTATCGGACGTTGCAGTAAGATGGACGGGTAAATTTCACCCAAGTGGGATAAGACTCACGTCGTCCGGTGGAGCCTCGTATCTGAGATAGTTAGAGCATTGCCTGTACTAAGGCCTTCCCCCGCTGTCGTGGGTTCGAATTCCACCGAGACACCGAGTTCTTTACAGTTGGGTCATAATAATTTCCTCTGAGCATATTTCAGTATGGCCATTTTCTCGAGTTTAATTTTTGATTTGAATCGATAAAACACCTTCCTCATTACCTGATTAAAATGAATGTTTCGAAACGTCTTTCCATATCTGCGCCTTAGCTGGAATCTCTTAGCAAAGGAGATAACTGAATAACTGCCTAGGTCATCCTATGGTTTTGGAGCGTGCGCAGGTTCGCTCGTTCAGATTATCGATACTATCACCGTTTTCATTCATGATACGCGCCAAGTTCCATCGTCAATGCTGAAAGCAAATAACATATTTTACGGGCACACTACGTAGGTGGTGCAGACTTCGATTTGCGGATATTTTTTCCTTTGGGATTATTTATGCACAAGTTAGACCATTAGAGCACACTCCTTGCGCTAAAAATAGAACAGATCGAAATAACAAGTAGTAAGAAGGTTTGTGGAAAATTGTTTGCCTTATTCTCTAGTAGACTAGTCGTGGATGCTTTGTAAAAACCAACAACAGAATTGATAAACGTTAAGCGTCTGCCGCTTTTCGAGGTACAGCATGTGCCGGGGAGTCTAATAGAACTTACTTTTGTGTTCTGTTGTGATAGAAAGTCCTCAGTTATGAAGGGAACGACAAAGATGGCGATTGCAATAGAAAGGAGTTATTTTAAAGTTTATTGGGCAGTATGTGCTTTAATAAATTGCACTTTCTTGCTTAAAGTTTAGAATTCTAACCAAAACCGCGTTAACTGCGGCATAGGATATAGACACTTTCAGTAGGCTGCCTCCCTTTGAAGGTTCAAATTTCAAGCCTGAGCAAATTTTCTCTGTCTATTTGCCACTTAGGATACAGTTTATCGTTGTAATGCAAGCAAAATGGGATAATGCAGAACTAAGACGTGTGTAGTGGCAGCTGAAAGTACAATAATAATATTATACGACCATTGGAAATCTGACTTTCATGTCTTCAAATAAAAAAAGCTACGAGAAATTCTCTGCTCTTGCAGCAGCCATCCGAGTAGTTCAAGCTTAAAAAACTGTAAGAGACCTACTAATGGAAAGCAGTCATAGGAAAGGAAGCAGGTGAAGAGTTGAATATGAAATGACTCAAAATAATCCCAAACCGGTTTTCCATGTGCTAACTGCTTTATGCCTGAGTTTACTAGTGTATAAAACGTCAAGACTGTGTTTATTTGAGAATGTCTGTCTGACGAAGAATACCCTATGGATATTTTTGCATCTGTCAGCCGGAAACCGCATGAAATGAAACTTAAGCAATCTAGTTTTATTGGAAGAGATGTCCTGAATCTCTACGTCGTAGGGAGAGGCTAATCAAAACTAACGGGGAGCGTTCTCAGTATCATTTCCGAAATTGTCTGCTTTTATGCACGAAAATCTCTATATCCTTCTTAATTATCTACGCATTCCTTCATCCTCCTCCGAAGTTCTCACTTTTACTCCCAAGAACTAAAGAAAATGAGCCGATTTATATGACCGCTATATAGACAAATTTACACAAGGCACAGAGGAACCTAGTTAAGAGGCTAATCCTCGGGACTCGGCGTACTTTCGAAATAGGCCAACTGAATCCTGTCGCAGAAAATCCGAAGTTATTCTATGATTATATAGGAAGAAGCCCACGAAACAGAGACCCAATCCCGTTGTTGAAAGGCAGAGGGAAGGCAGAACACCTCTCACAATTTTTAAGTCCATCTTTACGAAGGAAAGCGCGTTTCTTCCTCCCGACTGCGACATAGTGAACGGGCCAACGATTAAGTATGTCTCTTTCGCCGAATTTATTGTTCGCAAACAACTGTTGACGCTGAATGAGTCTAAATCACCCGGGCCGGATGACATACCGCCCAAATTGTTGAAGGAGCTCGCTGGAGAACTATTTAAAACGCTCTCCATGCTTTTCCAAGCTTCGTTCGAATCAGTCTATTTGTCCGCCGATTGGAAATCTGCTCGGATCACGCCAGTTTATAAATGCGGCAGCAAGATCGTAACAAACAACTACAGACCAGTCAGCCATACTTCAATTTGCTGCAAAATTATGGAAAAATAATTAAGCGAGAAATTTTGCACTTCCAAGAAGAGTATAATCTGCTATGCGATGCCCAGCACGGATTTCGTAGAGGCAGATCATGCGTGACAAACCTACTTTATTGTTTAGATCGCTGGATCCGGGCAGTCGATGGCGGCAATGCAGTGCACGCAGTCTGCGTAGACTTTAAAACAGCATTCGACAGTGTACCACATCAGCGTCTCCTGTACAAATTAAGCCGAACAGGTATTAGGGTCTCCTAAGGTGGATCCAAAGCTTCTTGATCGGTCGCTCCCAAATCGTCCGCGTCGGTTACAGGCGGTCAGCGGAGGTAGCGGTTGAAAGCGGTGTTCCTCAAGGCTCCATCCTTGGCCCTACCCTATTCATTATATACGTCAACGACTGCGTCAGTGAAGTGAATTATGATGTCGCCATATTCGCTGATGATGTTAAACTTTGGAGCGTCACCCGAACTGAATTTGACGAAGAACGCTCGCAGGCAGACCTGACCCGACACGAGAAATGGTCGCAAGACTGGCTTTTGCCGTTTAATGTGACTAAGTGCAATGTCTTGAAAGTCGGCAAGACCCGATCTCTGAGCCGGAAGGTTCACCACCTAAATGGCTTACCATTGTAGGAGGTAGACGCCCAGAAAGACTTGGGTGTGTGGGTAACAGCTTCTTTAAAACCGTCGCTGCACTGCACCAAGGCAGCTAAGTCCGCGATGTCAGTCCTTTATCTCGTCAAGAGAGCTTTCTCTACCTTCGATGAGGACTGCATCCTTAAAGTCTTTCGGACATGTGTACGGCCACAGCCAGAGTTCGCTATTCAGGCGTGAAAACCCTGGACCTCTAAAGATCTCAACATCTTTGAGAAAGTTCAAATGCGAGCAACCAAACTCGTAAGAGGACAGGGTTCACTACCCTGTGAAGCACGCCTATCCAATATCGGCCTTTTTCCACTGAGTTAGAGACAGCTAAGAGGCGACCTTATACAAACATTCCGTATAATGCGCGACCAGAACTGCTGTCTCTTACCTGCTGATTTCTTTGAGTTAGCAACCACAACGAACCTCCGAGGTCATCCACTTAAATTACGTGTGACTGGCGCCAGGCTGGACATTGGGTAGTTCTTCTTTTCAAACAGAATGATCGAGGCTTTGAATGCTCTGCCTGCAGATGTCGTCATGTCCACCTCCGTCGAGGCTTTTAAGCGCCAGTTGGAGCAGTGTACCACCAAACGTCATAATGTCACTGACCGACATTGTCTTAGTATCTCGTTCGAACAATTTATCAACGTCGTTATATTACTGCCCTATTTCAGTAACGTTTGTTTTTTATTATTGTTCCGTGCCTGTTGAATGTGAATGTTGGCATTCAATTCGTCTCTCTCAGAAACTGAGATAGCACCAATTATCCATAGACAGACTACTGTACAGCGCAGTTAGTAACGCTGTTTTTAACACTTGGAACAATTCGTTTATCTGTCTCGTTTCGAAAACTTTGCCAATCTGAAGAAAATTTCCAGCTGTTCAATGTTTCCATTTTCATATTTTTGATATAGCTCGCTTCCTTGTGGCAAATAGGGCGTTCAAAGGTTCAAAACCTATATTTCCCTCAAATAAACTGAAAATGAAACCGAAACATTTGCATTGCATTGGATTCACAACTGCAATGCAAACCGTGTACAGTTTCTATGCGACCACTAAGTAGAGGAATGGTGCGACAGAAGGTTTCCGATTCAGTTATATTTTCTAGATGTTTGACAACCTCAACCATAATCCATTGGCAAAACTAGTTTGGTCTAGTTCATCAGATCAAAGTTAAGTGTGTTCTTTGTGTTTGAAAAACCCCCTAAGATCTCCGAACTTGTTGCTCTTGCATAATGTTGCAGGCAAAATACAATTTCACTTTTGTAAGAGCTTCAGTCGTTAGGACGACCAGCATAACTCCTTAGTGGGAAGGAACTGAAGTTGTTGCCATGGCAAATACCAAACAGGCTCGAGAATTCCCCGAAGCCTGGCACTGCACCAGGACCTGTATAAATTGCCATGTCGGTCTGGATGCTCATTAAGACGGTCTGCGTGCTCGGCTCACTGACTTGAGCCTACGACGTAACAACAGTCGCTTATCCATACCGGGGCCATGTAGAATCTCACTATTTTGCCAAACCCTCCCCCAGACACAGTTAACCGTAACTACAAGCCCTAGCAGCTCTACGCTGGCTCACTGACCTCTGCCCCCATGTCGGAAGGACGACCACTAAGTGCACTGTCTGCAGTCCCATCGAATCGTCATTCCCCCACCCTCCAACACAGGGAGATGCAACAGCCCCCCTCCCCCGCCCTGGATCCTAGCCTTATTATGAGCCCACCCCTTTCACACACTAGTCGCTTGCTTGTTAGTAGCTGCCCTGTCGCGCCAACCAATTTAATCTGACTATTTTACCTCCTCCCCTGTTTATTTCGTCTGACGACGGGTTGGTGTCACCAACTCAAAAATTCATGAGCACAACTGGACTTTTTCCGTCACATAAGAAACTTTCGGCTGTCTTTGGAGGGCCATAATCGAAATTCTCCTGTTAATTATAATAATTCATTTTTTAAACACCAGCTGATAAGGTTTGTCGAAAAGATAACCTAGACAGGTAAAAAACTACTGACAGTTCGACTGTCGTTGCCGACTATGTCCACCGCGTGCTCTACAGCAAGGCAAGAGCAGGGACAGTGACTTGTGAATGATCTACCGCACCCTCTCCTCCTCCCTCGCCTGGGCCAGGTGTCAAGACAGAGTCAAGAAGACAGAAGGTTTGGGAGGACGCAAATGAACGGCACGGTTAAGCCCTACCTTGGCGCTCCACTCCACACCCCCTGGTACGCACAGCAAATGACCAGGTTTTTGACCAACAACAAAAGGGTGGCTGGCACGGCCGCAACCGCAACTAGGCGTGTCGTCACACCTGGTTCGAATCCCACAAAGTAGGAGTGTCATAAAGGCCACATTAAGAAGGAGCCATTGCAGTCTGACTTTCAGTCCACTAGTCGGCCACTCCACACAAAGACACATTGGAATGACTGCGAGATCCAAGTTATCCCGTCAGTTGCCAACCTTCCAAGCCACGGCTTTTGGTGCACCATGATAGCTTAAAGCGCGTCAGATTGTTTATAATGGGGAAAGTACACTGAGTCGTCGACCTCACTTTCCTTTCCCACTCCCAGGCCCCAGTCAATGTCCGAGCCGGTCAGTTGACAGATGCGAGACTGACATATCCAGTGGTCTTGTCTGCGCGCGCCACACGCACGACCGGGCCACCCCAAACACAAGCACTAGGGTTTCGCACAACGGGGCTTGGGCGGCACACATCTTACGTGAGTGGGAGTGTCGTAGGTCACGTTAAAAAGGAGCCCTTTCAGCCTGGCTCTCAGCCCACCAGTCCGCCACTCCACACAAACACACAGACAACTAGGCAGACTGCGTGGACTGATTTGGGGCGTCAGTCAATAGTCTTCCAGGCCACGGACGCACCGTGATAGCCTTAGACAAGAACCACACATACAGCAAAGAAGCAACTTGGAGACGGAGCCGAGACGAACACTTCCCATTTGCCTGGGAAGTACTAATTGGATGCTTGTGGTGGATGATGATGTTGTGTGATGCAGGTGAGGGAGGCTGTGATTGTGTGGTGCAGTCGGCGGTTGTCTACCACAGGTTTTCGTGAATACGCATATGACCCAATAGGCTCATGCGGTGGGTGAGTGGACGGCTACAGTGAGGGTGGCTGAGGCGGATGCGGCGAGTGTATGTTGGCTCTCCAGGCACTTGTTCGCCAGTCTCTGTGCGATGGACTCGCAAGTGACCGACCAGGCCGATGTGTGAAGTGAAGGTGCGGAGACATGTAGATAGGAGAAATTGGCGGTGTCTGTGTCAGTTTCGGAGTTGATGGCAGTGATGGAGCTGCTGAAGGTGGACGCGCTGGGCAACGGGAGTGTAGGCTGAGCTAGGCAAGCTGTATGTGCAAGAAGTGCTGAGTGTGGTGGAGTTGGTGCTGGTGGGTGTGCCTGACAGGGGGGTCTTAATCATATACAAAAAACGTAAATACTTGCAAGCGGAGCAAACGAAGAGTAGGCGTTCGAGCTATCCCGGTGAACACCTCCTCTTCTTTTGATATGCCACCTACAAATCGCCTTTTTATAACTATTGAAGCAGGCAGAGCTTTATACACACAGCTAACGTCTGAATTTGAGTAGAAGAAAACTGCATGGTTACGAAAGTTGAATGTGAAGGAGTCGACCTGTTTTACAAATATATGACTTATATTTCTATTATATAGGCATATTACCTGTTTGGCTCCGAATTAATTAATTTCATTTCGACCGTTTTAACAGCCGTCCTCGCTCCTCTGGTAAGAAGGCCTTAGAAGGCAGATTATACTTACCTACTGCCCATCTTCGTTGCGGCGAACAATATTCGCTACTGATTTTGCAAAACCCGCGGGATTCTAAAAGTAGTTCAAAATGTGCGATTTGCTGCTTCGAACTCCCCGAGACCAACGATCCGGCAAATCTTCTAGAATAAATGCAACACCAAACCAGCATACAATGAATTCTCCTCTCTGATATTTGTGAATTTTTATTTAAAGGAAAGTTTTACAAGCTCAAATTTCGACTACAGGGAGGAACCCAAAGCAGACCAAGCAAATCTGCCCTGTCTTTGAAAATTCAGTTTATCTGTGGATCGGTGGGGTAGGAAAGTTTTATGACAAGTGGACAGTTGATTTCCTCTACCGCATTTAGCCAATAAATAAATCTCCTGCCAATCAAATATGAGTAGTGCGGAGACCGAAAGATAACTACAACCGCGGATCATTCGAATGGGAACAAAATATGTCATGTGTACGCAATCTCTGCTGCCCAGTGGAACAGTGGTAGTACCCAAACTGATCCTATAGACCCATGTTCATGGAATTCATGTCACTGATAGTTCACTTTGTGATTACGGTAATTACCTGATCCAGAACGCTCCTCTGGTGGAGCTTGATAACATGAGAAACAGATTTCGTGTTCAGAAAATACTGACGGTCCGGCTACAGTGTTTGCTTCTAAAGTATTGTGGTTCCCGGCTTCATCCAGTTTAGTCTATTTTTGATACTTATACTGCGAGTCGTCCCCGATGGGCTTGGGCCAAAGAACCAGGCACCATCGCAGCCTGTCATTCAATGACTCCAATTAAACTGCTAAGTCGTTATATGCGACAGAAAGCCCATACTAACTTGTGAGCACTGCACAATTTTCGTTTGTTCTTACTGTTGTATCAATGAGACAAAATATGTCTCGTAAACATCCTTTTGTGTTCTTCTTCCCTGTCTAACTCGTCTCGCATATCCCTCGCTCTTGTGCATTTACATCATATATCTGCAAAGGGACATTTTTGGGTTAGACTGCAGTTGGTAGCCAGGATTATGTAAGCGGAACTTGACCGAAATCATAAAACCCAACGCTAAACTTAACCCTGACCCTAAACTTAATCCTAACCCTAACCTTAAACCTAACCCTAACCCTAACCCTAACCCTAACCCTAACCCTGACCCTAAACTTAATCCTAACCCTAACCTTAAACCTAACCCTAAACTTAAACCCAACCTTAAACCTAACCCTTATCCCAACCCTGATCCTAACCTTAACCATAACCTTAACCGTAACCCTAACGAGGACCTTAACCGTAGCCCGTAAACATAGCCCTAACTCTAAAACCTGATCGTAACCGTAATACTGAAACCTAATCGTAAAGTCTAACCTTAACCCGGAAACCTAACCTTGAAGTCCTAACCCCCACCCGAAAATCAGAAAACCGTAAACTTGAACCTTAATCCTAACCTCAGCCCTAAAACGGATGCCAAATGTTGTAGCCCTAACCGAGACAACCATAACTCTAACCCTAAAACCAAACTGTAATCGGAAACCATAACCCTAACCTTAACACTGAAACCTGACCCTAAAACGCAAACCCTAACCCTGAAACTTAACCTAGTCGTAACCCTAACCCTCACTTAAACCTAGCAGCCTGACCGAAACGGTCGACCTGCCTTACTCAGTAGAAGTACACCTACTGATAACAAGTCCCCTAGACAAGGCAAGCGCACCTACTGATAACAAGTAAGTGTGTCGACAGTATCAACGTATAACGTCTGGCTATCAACTGCGATCTTACCCATTTTTGTTGCATCAACTCCCAGCCAACGCACATTTATGTGCTAACAGGAACAGTCCACTTTGATGCTCTTCCTTTCCAGTTTGAGCAGCATCGGGGTCCAAGTGGCTCTGCAGGCACAGGCAACTACGGATGCGGCAGAAGCCTCGATTTTAGAAAATCAGCCGCCGCCGCCGCAGACGTCTTCCGCCACGCAGAAGAGAGAGGGCTTGCGGTCTGGGGGACAGTCGCTTACCTCTCGGAGCAGCGGCCGAAAACGTCTCAGGACAAGGACACCATCCGCTGGCAAAACGGAGCCGGCCAAGTACATACCTCAGCAGGACTTTATCGACGTCCTCAAGTCTCTGGACGCGCCTGTTGATAAGCAGGGCTTGCAGGGCATCCTAAAACGCCTGGATGTAGACGGCATTCGGATGATCGATTGGCAGTCCTTCTTGACGGGCAAGGACTACATTAAGAAGGCCTATCTCGCATCTGCATTTGGAGAGAGGAAGAAGAAGCAGAAGGGTCTGAAAGCAGGTGCCTGTCTACCGTTAGGTATTTCATACAAGAGGGTAAACCCAGCTGCAGTCAGCGTGTCCGTCCCTGTGGACGTTACTCTGCAGCTGCATGGTGGTGGCCTTCGTGATATTTTCAGGTAGCAAAATACGAAATTAGATAACCATTCCGGACCACTTTGAGGAACGTTCATCACTGATGCTTAAACCAGATGCTTATACAACAAGCCTAATGAGTATTTTAACATTCACTTTTTCTTACTGGCAGGTGAAATAATGGCCGCATGCAATTTTAATTCGCTCTAGTAGCTCCGCCTTTGTATTAACGATTTTCGATTTTCTTAAGTTTCGCTTTTCCCTACTAAATATGACAATGGATACTCACCCAATATTGGGCTAAATATGATGAAAATATCTGAGGGAAGTTTTGCATGCCGGAGACCATCTTTGCTATTACAAGCGCTGGGGCTTTATCGAGATAAAAACATTGCCTAAATTGGGCTTTCTGACCCTCGAAAAATGTTCTACGCTCAAACGTTAGGGAGACATATTTCTGCATCTCGCATACGCGTTTGCTTGGAAATTTTAAAATGTGCTCTAAGTTCTCTTGTTAAACGATGGCGTAATCCCCTGAATGATAGAGTATACGCGCGGCCCAGACAAGTGCATTGAAGAAGACGGGAAAACATTCTCCGGGGCCAGTTTTTTATTTACTCGACGTTTCGAACACTCACGCGAACCCATCGTCAAGGAATGAAAGACTGTATAACCCATCGCAAATTTAGCTTACCTCTGGAGGGCAAGACTTCCAGCTGCATTACTGATTTATTCACATAGCGCTTGATAAGCGATTGACGGATCGAGTTGTCGATTAATCGAGAGTCAGATGTGGTTATGCAGCTCAACCTGAAGTGAACAGACCCCATTCATCTCTAAAACGGGACTGGTGGTAATAGGGGTTTTTACAGGTGGGGACGGGGGACGCACAGGCGATGAGGCCAAGTAGTTGTATGCAAAAGAAAAGTTAGTGGGAATGCGCGATTGTACTTTGAGTGGTTGAGAACTATTTGCTCTAACTCCTAACCTGGCCCCTAACTATAAACCCACATCCCAAACCCTAACGCTTAACCCTAACTCCTAACACTAACCCCTAACCCTAACCCTTAAACACAACCCCAATAGTATCGTCTCCATCAGGTGGGGCTACCAAACCACATCTTACCTAATCGAGTCCTCAGTTTAGTGCCACGCTTCCTGCAGCAGGCGCGCAACTTGGTCGTCCGACTGGCCCAATATCCTCACGCACTCAAAGCCGTGCTCGGGCGAGGAGGCATGAGCGGTTACCGAGGACAGTTTTTCCTTCCGTCTCACGTCGAGTGAATACCCTCCAGAGCCATGCCTAACACAAAACGCAAGACACTCTCAAAAACAGAAGACGAAGCACTCCGGGCTTTGAAAGCCGACAAAAGCATCGTTACACTTTCGGCTGACAAAGGACGAGCAACCTGTTGATTCTTTCATGTTTCATTAGCAATGAAAATTGTTCGGCAAACATGACAGACTGGTATACGGAGGACAAGAAGGTCGCTGTGGGATTGAATGACAGAATATTGTGGGTTTTACTTTCGGTTACCAAAGCAAAGATAGTTTATTTTGTCCAGCGTGCGAATTTAACATAATGGCAAGTTAGCGTTTTCGGTTGCCTCGCAACTAATGATGGCTAGATGTGAAAATATGTTTTTTTGCATATGTTAAATGGCGTCTGTTTGCCACGCTATCAGCCATCCTTTACCCAAAAACAATTAAGTCACAGTATCAACAAGTACCCTTTTTAGACCAACAAACTTCTTAACGCTATCGGTCTTATTTGTTTTCTTAGAATTTTCTCCTATGCTGCTAACTTTTTTTGGATATTAAATCTTCGCTCTGTCTAGACGCAACTTTAATTAGTCAATTACCCTGTGATCTTTCCCAGGCCCTGGGCCAGGCGAAAAAGTTGAAACTGCCAGTACTAAACGTCGAAAAATTGCTGCAAAAGCATAATTACAGCGAGATGAAACCTAATACCCTCTATTTTAGGAAAAAGGACGAAAATTCCCCTAGATATTAGTGTGATGCCCGAGAGTTCGATACCTCGCCCACCCGATGGACGCCCACCCGTAATGTTCATTCCGAAGGCTGAGGCTCCTACCGACTTTTGTGAGTTATATAACTTTTGTCTGTATTTTCAATGACTCAGTCTCGATTAACATACCTTGTCAAGCAGGCGCGTTACACTCACTTGGAATCTTGCTCGATCCCATTCTGTCCGTCACTAGTTGGGCTGTTGACGACAACGAACATTGTACTAGGGGACGCATGCTATACAAAGAATGCTTTCTAAGGTGCTGACACGCTAGATGTATACCTCTTTGTGAGGAGGAACACCGTTTTCCTACAGTTTAGACGGTTCCAAAATGCTTGTGCTGGCCGTTGACCTATGCACACGTTTCTATTAATTTACACCTATCAGAACATTAAACACCTTTTGCAAACTATACAAGAGCTGTATTGTCCTTTGTTTACGATACGCCTAAAAGCCAACACTTTAATGACTTTTTCCCCATTAAAGTGCGTTTTGATGGGGAGCATCCGGCGGAAAACCCGTTTCAGAATGATTCCCTCTGGTATGTTACGGCCAAACCAATGCGGTACCTTTTACTGCACGATGCCGTACTTAATGAAGATACACGTAAGTCAACGAGCAGGATTTGTGGCTTTTTTGCCAGCCGATTAGTGTTCACAACAGAAAAGCCAGTGAAGTGTGCATGTGCATACAGCTAGGTGTTTACCAGCAAAGACCGGCTTATTTTCGGACAAAAGCACCCTATGACGAACACTGTCTCTGGCGAAGCGAATAACGTTTGTGTGTAAAGTCTTTAGATATGTGGAAAATATTTTTCTTTTGGACATCACAACCTTAAGTTTGTCAACCTAAGTCAGTTGAAACCTTGCAAAGTTAAATCGAGCGACTTTCTTTCCGCGAGAACGGATGGTCTGATGTCTTTTATCTTATTTCGTGCGATTAGTGTTGTTAAGACGGCCAAATTCATTTCGTTGTGCCTATCTAGAGATAAAACAAGGACGGTTCGTTTCCTTGTCACTATCATGGTCATCACATATGAAAACTCTGATGTAAAAGCGCCAAAATTAAAAGTTAATTAAGGCTTTGTAAGGGGACATACACATGTTATATGAGGCAGTTCTTTTTATTTTCTGAAAATTAGTGTCAAAAACCCATGCTCATGTATCCTTTTGCGAGCTCTCTTCAAGAAACGCTAATACTGGGCCCGTAGCCAGAAGTTTGCCTAGTTCGTTATTCATCTGTTATGAAGTCACTTCATCCCATTTCAAATTTTCGTCGCTCATTATGACGAAGTTCAAAAAACGGTTTGTCCTTATTCCCTCAATTGTTTACTTTTTAATATTAGATTTTTAGCCATGCCTCTCTTTTAAAGATTCCATCATAGAGGCCATCCGCAGTGGGTATCACGTTGACATTCGTGACCAATACTACAAGACACCCCTGATGACCGCTGCTAGTGATGGAAATATCAGAATGACGAGACTGCTAATCCAGTTGGGGTATGTTGTTATTTTTCCCATAATGCACTCCTTGCATCGAAGCAGTAGTTATTTTTAGGCAGAATAACATTACCGGCAAAGACACCGGGGACTGCAATAACTATTTCTGGCTTATTAGCTGTCATCAGGTTTTACAACCCCTGAGACCCGATCGGTGATCACCCCTCTACTATAATAGTTTTTTTATTCACTAAGATCGGGGTCGTAATCGAAGAACTTTTCGGAAGTGTTTGGTCAACAGAACACTGCTAAACCCCTCTTTATAATGTCCACATTAGTGCGACTACTAATGAAACAATGGAACATCACATATAGTCAGTACCAAGTGACACGAATTTCTGAACGTCCAATTCCTATCCACAATATCCGATTTTGTTGGCAGAACTATTTCATCCAAGGTTGGGCACGGAAATACGAACTTTTTCGTGTTAAAAGTGACCATGCTCTAAATTCTGGAGGGGTCAGCGGTAGAGTTAGAGTTAGTAAGGTTGGGGTCGGGGTTAGGGCCAACAAGGCCGTGATGTTAGGGTCAGGATTTGAAGTTGGGACACAGGAGTAGGTGCCCCTGTTCCGTGCCCGACTTCCCTTCCGTAAGGCTTTATGGAGCTTCCGTCAGCAAATCACCACTTTTCCTTGCCACGTTTCCACTATTTATTTAGGCACAATACCTGCCTGTTTTTAGCGCAAATGTGAACGCGCGAGACAACTTCTGGTGGACACCCCTGCACCATGCTGCCCACTCTGGTATGGTGGATGTAGTGGAATTACTTCTCTCACAGGGTGCTGAGGTCGATGCTCGAGCGCTGAATGGGGCAACACCGCTTTTCCGTGCGATCGAAACCTCGCGTGCCGCAGTTGTCAACTTGCTCGTTAATAGGGACGCAGATATTACCCTTGAAACGAAGCAAGGTGCGTTGACTTAACTTCCACTATATTAATCCACGAAAATTGATTAGGTAGTCTCTCACGTACTAAAGACTGCAGAAATTGAAATACCAACAAAAATTTGTCAACGTAAGCTATAAAGTGTGCGCTTATGAATACATTTATCCACTGGTTAGTAAGAAATCTACACCTCAGCTAAAATGTGAATCGTAAAGTCGGCAAGTGTACGGTGTGTAATCCTCTGCGGTAGACCGCAGGTGGCTACGAACCTAATGCCCGCCAGGGTTATGCCTTCAGTGGAAAATCTCTGGCCTTCAGGCATTAAAGGAAAAGTCAGACGGAACCATACTCATAAGCCAAGTCCTGAAATCTTAATCCTAGCCTCCATCCCAAATTCAAACCACAACGCAAGCCTGAAAATCATATTTCCAAGAATAACCCAACTAATCTCAATTTTAACCGTTGTTAAAAACCTAACCTTAAGCCCATAACGGGCACCTTTAATATAGATGATGCTGCTGAAGGTCTGAATCAGCTTTCTGCATTATCCCTTTCGCGACCTACTGCCAGTCAAACCGTTATGAAGCACCAATTACCCATGGGGTTACATACCCTGCCCTTACCGTAAAGCCTTCTCTTATCTTTGTTCGACGCCAACCAAATTATTCCGCCTTTAAGGCCTAACGGGAGTTCTGCTGGCAGAGAGGCATGTTCAGGCGTGTGAGTAGTCGACTTTTCTGTTAGGTAAGGACTCCTCATCCTCTGGCGTCTGAGAAAGTTGCCCGTTCCCAAGGTCGCAAGCTTCAGTTCTTTGCATGAAGGTTTAAGGAGAATAAAAAGGATGATGAGGATGTGAAGGTATAGTTTTTGTAATACTCAGTAAGGCACGACCAGAAATTCTCCTAACACATTACTCAGAGGAGCAAACTGATAAATGGCCCTAGATTAAACGAGACATGAAAAATCCAGACGGCCTCCGTGGTAATACAAAGGTCTCTATTTCGGAATAAGATGACAAGAAATGGCGTGACCGATTACTGATTAACAATTTCAAGGCAAGGAGACTGCCGCGTGTCACGCCAGATTGGACGAAACGAATTTTCAGTCACCAGACCGGAAATGAGAAGCGAAGAAGATTTACGAGAATTCGATTGGCAAATTGCCTAACTGTTCTTAAACGTCATTGGCATATAACACCATCTTAAGGGGAATGAAAGGAACCAACACTGGATGGGGCATAGTTAGGGCACGCCTTTAAATTGGAATTAGCTGTTTTCATGATGCAGGAAAAATAACATGGAATCGTAGATTATAGGAATGTGAAAATGGCCATCAATAGATTCCAGGCGTAGGAGCGCAAGTGGCCGCTCCAGTGCCTGGGTTTACAAATTTTATCAGAAGTGACTTCAGAGTATCTGAGCAATATACTCAGGGGAACTAAACTACCTCAACAAAAGCGCAAGAAACACAGGATTGAAAGATGATCCCATTTTATGCCAGCATTTTCTCATGCTCATGCTGAGTCATGATACAGAGATCCGCGATATCGGTGCACTTAAAGCACAGTTTAGTTTGAAAATAGGTATAAAGTTAACTTTTCGTATTGCATCTGACCGCAGTCATTAGAAAAATGTGGACTTTAGTTTGCAAGTTGCAAAAATGTCCGTGTAGGTGGACGTTATTGTGCAAACTACTCGACGGAGCGAGCCAAAATGACTAGTTTTCGCCTAAAGTTATCCGCCTTAACTGTGAAACCTAGATCTTTTAATGACTCTATCGCATACATGATGGCCAGTTAAGATGTTAACCGCTTCCACGGCGTCATCTGATTTCAGCTTTTTTCAACACAGGTTTTATACCTCCAGTCCTCTCTTTACTTGAATTCACGCACTATTTTATCGGTGTCTGAATTTACAAGACAGGTAGGAAAATAGTAACTTGTAAAATTCTACGCAGATCAGTAGAGGCAAATGACAAATGGTTAGTTATATTTAATCAGACGTTGGGTAACTGTCTAGACTTACCAGCCATCAATTACAGTTCATTTCGGACTTCACATTTCCCTACCCCACACATGAACCCTTTTACAAATGGTCATACAAAATGAGCCACTCAGTCGATTTCAAACTCACAGACAGATGCGCATTAGACTGACGTGAATTTATCGAAAACTCATGTTCTTAGAGCTGTAGTCTGAGTCAATTACCTGCAAATTTTCGCCAACCTCAAATAGCCGAATGCATAAGTTTGTTTTCAATTTACGATCTGTGTCAATGCAACCCGCTAAAGTGGGCAGTTAATTCAAAATCAATACATTAATTTCTTAAGGCTTTGAAAGAGTAAATATGATGAATTTAAATCTTTTCCAACTTGTGTAAATTATGAAACAGATTATATGCCGTGCTGAAAGCCGCGGTAGAAGGTAAGTTGTATTAACTGATTATTATAAAATTCTGACTTTCAAAAACAGATCTAACGTCAAAGTTAAAACATTTTGGCGCACCGTGACTGGGACATACAGTACCTGTGCTAACTCATGGAATGTCATGAATTAACACAGGTAAACGACTTTAACGCAGAATCGGTAAACACTACGGCTCCCAAAGTCTGATAGCGGAAAATAAAAGATGTGTCCAAGAAATAAAGCAAAGTTTGGTTAAGAAAATATTATTTACTGAGATAAAATAAATAATTTTCGACAGAAGTCACATTTTCGAGAAACGCTTATATTACAACCAAGTTAATAAAGGTTACGTGTCAAATGCAATGTCACTTTGGCTCTCCAGAACCGCTTATCCTACGCGTTGTCTCTTATTGCCTTGCAACAGGTACGACACCTCTGGATGAGGCCTTTGTTTGGGGTGATCCTCGAGTGATTGCCATTCTTATGGCAAAATCTGCGGAACTGAAAGCCGAGGAAACAAAGAAGTCTGCACGCCGCCCCGCTGTATGTAATTTGGCCAATTCTAGCAACCTCTGCTTCTAGAGGACTGCCCACCTTTCCTCCTTGTACTGAAAGTCAACACTTTTGTCCACAAATAGGTTTTCAACCTATCAAGATTATAGTCTCAAAGGACACTGACTAGGTAGATGGCAAATTGAGACTTGTATCGTCAAATAAATTTCCAACTGCAGATGCGGCAAAAACAGGGGATTCAGAAGATTTTGAGAAACAAAGTTGTCCTAGAAGTTTTAATTTTCAGGCATGTGTTTGTCCATTTTGGACGGGCAGAGCGTATTTATCAATCAAATTCATTTTGAACCAGTGTAGCCAAATCAATGTCATAAAGTAAATTTCTTTATAACTGATATTTGGGCGTCTGAGTCTACACCGGTACACTGTTAGCCGAAGAACGTGAGAACGCTTCGATCCCTTTGAAAAGAGGACTAACGACTGTCCCGAAATCCTCGCATTAATTGAAATACCAAATAATATACGCTCTTCTACAGTACTTTCCAGGTGCAGTTAAATTGATCTACATTGTAAGATCGCAGCTAAACATAGAACCTTAGGTTTTACGGTCCCACTTAATAGTCCACGCGCGGATAATCTAAATGACCAAATATCTCGCTGAGGCAGTTGAGAGAGATCCTGTTTAAAGATCCTAATAATGTTTAGTATTCCGCCACTTTCAGATCCTCGTAGAACTTCACGGATGTTAATTATATAAATTACACTCCGTCTGTATTCTATTAGTCTCGACAAATGCTCCAGTTGTGAGTCAGCCCTGGTGCAATTACTTGTGTGAAAGCTCAACAAGGGAGATCAAAATAACCGTTTGGTGTTCACTTGGGTTGTCAGCCAGCAATGCGCTAGGCCAAATAGGCCCAGGGAACTCCTAGGTTAGACTGATTTGCTGGATCGGTTATGAGCTACAACACATTTTCGACTGTTGCAAATCAAATAGGATTGTTTAAAACTGAAGTATTTTATCTGGAAGGAGATTATCCTACACGGAAACCGCTTCCTCTCTTTATTAACAGACCTGCTTTAAAAGTTCCAAAAATTCTTTATGCTTATATAACACGTCATTATACTCCCCGATAGAAAAAGCTGAGCCGACCGTTCCCGGAAAATGCATTCGTAATTTCTATCCACTTCGACTGGACAGAGGTTTTAGTTAATTGCGGGGTAGGATGCCCACTTCGGCCATTTCAGTGACCTCTACGTAAACATAGAATTAGAGAGTGACGTATATGCGAATTTCCCTGATCTGGCCCTGTAAAATGAGGGCATGCATTCGTTTCTCTGGAACTTCCGGCGTTGACATTAAACACGGCTTACTTGCAATAGCTGAAATGGGTAAACTCCGTTCCAGTCATTCTTGCATTAGTATTTTCAGGCAAAATCCACTCGGCAACGACTATCTGCTCGCCTTTTGATTTCTGGGGTCCAAATGATTAGAAGACCCTCAGGCGCTGTGTTTACTGTTTCTCTGTCGCCAGTTTGATGGACTTATTCAAAAAATATATTATCGATTATTTTTTATCTTTTTTTTGATAGACCAAAAAAGGCAAAAAGGGAAAAGGCGAAAAAAAGCAGAACACCATACAGTTCAGTGTTGTAGGTCCAGATGATATGCCGAAACTGTTTGAGAAATCAACTTCGAGCAAAACCAAGGAGTTGTCCCAAATAATAACTCGTCACATAAATCTATCGGAACTGGAGACCGATATGATGACCTTTCCAGAACTTAGCCTTGAGGAGCGGCTGCGGAAACGAGAGGACGACCGAGATCGCTTTGAGTGGGATTCAAGTCTGCCTGCCATTGACAAACCCTATTTCAACAGAAATATTTCTCGGATTATGAGCGAGATGGATCCTCAACTGACTAATACTACCAATTAGGAGTTGTTGATGAAGAGATATTATTAGCGTTGTAGCTGGATTTTCAAAATTCATATTAAATTTTCGCGGTAACTAAACCGACTTTTTTGGATATTTACTTACTTACTGTTAAGTTCTGTGACTTTAAAAGTGAGAAATAGAAAGTTGAAGACTTGTACTGTCTGGTCGAATATTTTCAAAATGAAGTGAGCACTTCAAATGCCTCACTTTAAAATTTAAAGCCGCATGGCCTTCAGACGTTTCAGCTTCCTCGCCGCCTAAGCGAAAAACGCTGTAGCTGATGTTTCATGCAAGACCTGCTGCAACCATCTAGGCGACTACAGCAACCTTCGAAAGGCATCATCTCTGGTTCTCTAAAAAGGACGGGCTCTATACCTTAAATCTTTTAAACCGTATGTGTAGGATGGACGCAAAAGCATGCTAAAATTAGAACCCAAAGAATACAAGTAAATGCTTGCATGAGTACAAAAAAGCACGTTAATTTTAACCGGACAAGCAGAAGAAGGGAAGTCAAGCTTGAGTGCACTACGGAGTTTGTTTGATTTGGGAAGCCAGTAGAACTCTGTGCCCAGTCCTGCTTGAATGCAAATTGTAAACCTACGGAATTACGGAGCATCCCTCACTATGATAAATCTTGTGGCCTTTGAAGCTGTTATGATGAGCTGCCAACTGGTGTTCGTGGATGCGTGTAGAGGCGCGTTTTCCAGTCTGGCCACAATAGACGGCATCACACGCTTCACAAGGGATCTTGTAAACGACTTCTTTTTTGTGCGCCGATGCATGAGGCAGAAAAAGTCGGAGAGAAAGGAGCCAGGTAGCCCAAATCAGACGGCCGAACCGAAAACTTGGCGAACACTTCCTTACATTAAAAATGTGTCCGAACTCGTTGAAAGACACTTAAGGAAGCACCAAATTCAGGTGGCGCACCGACCGACGACTTCTCTGCGCACTCAGCTCGTGCACCCTAAAGATAAGGTTAACTATTTGGACAAAAAAGAAGTCGTTTACAAGATCCCTTGTGAAGCGTGTGATGCCGTCTATTGTGGTCAGACTGGAAAACGCGCCTCTACACGCATCCACGAACACCAGTTGGCAGTGAGGAGGCGAGACCATCTATCTCAAGTGGCCATGCATTCCCTGGACACCGGACACACTTTCGCTTGGGAAAAAACTCGCATTGTCGCTGTGTGCTCCGCAAAGAAAGGCCGAGAGTTCCTTGAGGCCATGCACTCAGACGATTCATGCATCAACAGGCACATCGAGTTGGATGCCGCGTACAGCAATCTCAAGGAGAGATGGAAGAGGCGGGGACCAATCAGAACGGACTGACAAACACGACGGCCGCTTACTGGCGTGAGCGTCAGGCGATTAGAGATTTTTTTACGTGCACTTAAGATGTTAGCTGTGTTGGCGCATTTGCTTTCCGTCTGTGCCTGACGACGACTCGGGGAACCGGCGTCGAAAATTTGCGCAATAAACTTCCTTTCCCAAAGCACACATTCGACTTCGAGATATATATATATATATATATATATATATATATATAATACATGAGCAGCTCGCTAAGAGTGCAACAGGCCAGACGCAGACAGCTGTTTCACGGTCGTTACCGATCATCAGTACGTCATACGCCTTATGAAGTGAGGTATATAAGCATGTCAAGTGGGCGTTTGACCCTCACTGTTGTGGTTAGGATCTCACTCGATCCCATTCTGTCCGCCCGCCAGCTTGCTACTGGCGACAACGAACGCTGTGTCCTCTGACATGAGGGTCAAACGCCCACTTGACTTGCTTATATACCTCACTTCATAAGGCCTATGACGTACTGATGATCGGTAACGACCGTGAAACAGCTGTCTGCGTCTGGCCTGTTGCACTCTTAGCGAGCTGCTCATGTATTATATGTGGTATGTGTCCTCTGACACAGCGTTCGTTGTCGCCAGTAGCAAGCTGGCGGGCGGACAGAATGGGATCGAGTGAGATCCTAACCACAACAGTGAGGGTCAAACGCCCACTTGACATATATATATATATATATATATATATAGTCAGTTTAAGTCAGTTTATTAAGGGAATGAGGCTTTCGCCCTTGAGCACCCTATTCATGTCGATAAACAGAAATAAAGTCATCAATTACATCAGCAAATGCGAAAAGTTAAGAAGTTAGCGGTAAGAGTGAGCCAGGCGCAAACTGCCGCCGCTAAAACAATCATGATTGTATGTACAGTAGGTTCTCAACAAGTGAGCGTCTAGTCTGCACTTAAAGGATTTAACACTTTCGGAAAGAACGACGGCATCAGGGAGTCCATTCCATGCCCCGATGACCCTGTGTGAGAAGGCGTTCCGTCGGACGTCCGAATTAGCCCGCTTCCTTTGCAGTTTGAACGGATGACCACGCAGACGGTCAGTCCGGGCCAATTCAAAGAATTCATCAAAATCTAGGGCACACTCTCGGCTTCTGACAATCCTGTAGGTTTGAATGAGATCGCCGCGCAGTTGCCTGTAATTTAGAGGAAACAGATTTAGTTCAGTCAGCCTGGTTTCGTAAGGCAAATGATGAAGATTCTTGACCATCTTCGTAGCCATCGCCTGTATTCTTTCCTGTCTTTGATAATCTTTCTTTAACCACGGTCGCCAGGCCTGGACTGCATACTCTAAGTGAGACCGGACGAATGCCCCATAGGTTTTTCCGAACAGCCCCTTGTCGATCTGCACAAATCCTCGCCTCAGCGCAAATAAAACCCTTATCGCACTTTTGGCTGCCCTTTGACACTGTGAAGATGGTTTCAGCGAGGAGGTCATTAGGACTCCCAGGTCCTTCTGTTCCACAACATTTGAAAGGGACTGACCACCAAGGACATATTGAAAGGAATCGTCCTCCTTACTGGTCTGTCTGGTGCGGAGTCTCAGGACCACACATTTGTCCACATTAAAATTGAGGAGCCAGCGAGCTGACCAACTGTTTAGGCGGTTGAGACTGTCTTGAAGCGCGTACCTGTCTGCATCAGATCTGATGGGTCTCCACAGCTTAACATCGTCAGCAAACATGATGGCGCTGCATCCCAGGTCGTCGACGCAGTCGTTAATGTAAACCAGGAATAGCAACGGCCCTAAGACGGAGCCCTGGGGTACACCACTTAGAACGGGAGTAGGAGTTGACCTTGAGGCCTCAATGCACACGGTTTGCAATCTCCCGTTAAGAAAATCTGTTATCCATATATATTATGACAGTGGGCACTCACCGATCAGGTAGGTTACGGAACATGCTCGTTCCGTTGTACATTTGGAGCTCATACTAGAATTTTCGCAGGCAGTCGCACAGCGACTAATAGTAGACATAGATGAGATGAAGCCGACAAAGACACGGGAGACCGGAATGGCCATTTCTGGCTTATTAGTCGTCATCAGCAAGTCATACCCAACCCCAAGTGTGAATCACGAGATTCAAACCCGGGATCCTTGTTCATGGAGTTTGACACTCTACCATTGAGCCACGGGCCCTTTGTCCTGTCGGTTGTGATCGGGAGCGCCCACTGACATAATTGATATTCCTGATCACAACCGACAGGACAAAGGGCCCGTGGCTCAATGGTAGAGCTTCAAAGTCCATGACCAAAGATCCCGGGTTCGAATCTCAAGTGATCCACACTTGGGGCCACACGTGACACAGGAGGCGTCTGGTTAAGCAGTGCTGGGGCTGTCCTCACAGATAATCTCCTCCTCGTCACGGTACATGCTGCAGACTGGCATGGAAGATCGAGAAATCCCTAGTAGGAGCCTCTTAAGGCGCATGCAGTAACTGCCATACACAACGCTCTCACAGGATGACGTGAGTACAGACGGTGGCTGCAAAGCCAAAAAGAGAGTCGGAGCGAGATAGCAGGAATCTTTGCTGATATGACATCCCCCTAATATTCTGACGGTTGCGTTGAACACCATTTAAGAGGTGCAGAAACTGAGGTCAGATATGAGGATCAAATGTATGCGTATAAGTACTGCGGAAGGTAATCTGTCCTTGTACCGGTTTCTCTACGACATGCAAGACGGTCCACAAGTGGTGGGGATACCGCTGTCCTCAAGTGATAATTTTGATTTTGATCGTGGCACGTCTCAAGAATTTTAGAGGATCGTAGGACGGAAAATGAAACTGGGTACCACGGTCTATCATAATGGTAGAAGGGGTGACCAGATGACTGTACAAAGACTGAGGAAAGTCTTGACCACGGTCGTTATCAGATGATTGAAATGATCACCTCTGGCCATCGGGTGAATCGGCTGACGCTGATGGCGAGGTAATAGCAGCCACTGGATAGAGGCAACAGACTCGTCGTGCCGAGCGAACATAGTTGAACCTGGCGCTCGGGTCGCGGAAGATGGCAGACTTTGCATTATTTTAATGGCAAGTCCTATTTTCCCCATGGCTTAGCGGAGCATGAGTTCGCCCATTGAGATCCACGTGCATACCCGGCCAGACACACCTGTCGTTGGCCACCTTGCCCTTTGCCCGGCTTTTGGGTGATAAAATCCGTGTAAGGCGAGGACATTCTACTGCGCGGAGAAACAGAAACGAACATTGGAGACTGTTGATGTCGTCGCTGGTAATCAGAGTGAGAACCCAGGGGCGAATGCTGAAGTTAACCTCGTCAAGGCGGGAGTTGGCAAGTTATTGTTATGCTGCCGTGAGATTTAACTCGAGCTCCAGAGATAGTAGCAAAGAGTCCACTAGTAGCGGGGACGGTGTCTGTCACCTCAGTCCGTCCTCTGCAAAACTAGGCGGCGGATCTCCAGCGGATTGTGTTCGACGGAAAAGAACAGCATAGCGTAAGTGAGGATTTACGGTCGGTGACTGATTCAAGACATCTGCAAGATCGTAAGCAACACTATGACTTATAGTATATGAGTTAAGGACCATTGGGAAAAGTTAATACTCGCCTGGAATTCGTTCATTCTGGCTTGGCCCATCTTATTGTCCCCTCCTCTTTGATCCAACGTTATTTTTG